TGCCGTTGATCAATCCCTTTTTGGGATGCGGCACGCATTCTACTTCCATTTGTACATTCGTAGTGGCGTTTGAATGCGATGTGGCCTATACAATGACTTGCGGGGGCCAGCCGATGTACAAGTCAGTGTTTTTATCCTCCCAGACAAGTCTGGTACCAATTAACCGACCCCGGAGGGATGGAAGGCTTGGTTGGCCCGACCCAGGATTTGATCCCGGACCGCTCGCGTGGTAAGCGTGCCACTTGCCACTACACCACTTCCGCCCTGATTTCCCATATAATAATTTTCAATGTGGCATCTGCGGATCGCATCTTGCAGTTTCCGTTTTGCACTAAATGTCAGCCCCGCTTTGCCATATGAGTTTTTTTTAACGGCCACATTTATTTCATTGCAATCGCTTCCATCCTTTTCTTCTAGTCCCGAATAGTCTTGAACTCAGGGTCTGAGTAGTTCGAGGTAATAGGTGATAGGTAATAGGTAGTAGTAGGTCCAAGCTCTCTGGTAACGCACTGGATCACTGTAATTCTCAAAGTGTCCCTGGAGGAGGCACAGTCCGTGTAAAACGTGAAAGAGCTCGTCTGAGTAGAGGAGACGTTAATTCGATATGGTGGTTGTTTTGGAGGCGTTATGAAGGAGGTCCGTCAGTGTTGGCTCCCACAGTCACGCATACTGTACGCCAAATTCGTGCTGTCAAAAATCTGACTAATCTTTTCCCTTTGGCAGTCTTATCGATTTTCCCAGAAACAAAAGTTTTGTTTTTCTATATTTTCTTTGTTCTCACTTATTTTCAATGAAAAATTCTACAGCTACTGTAAATGAAAAATTCTACAGCTACCGTAATCACAAGCTGCTGAATAAATGTAGAATAGATGTAGAATCAATATAGGAGATCAATACCATTGATGCATTTCGGAATTCAAGGCCAGGTGGATGACATAGAAATAGTCCTATGTATGGTTTTAATTATAAGAGAATTGTTGGCATTGATGGTGAAGTATAGCTTAGGGCGAAAGTGGAGCCGTTTCCCCGGGAAGGTGTTTCCCCCTGGTACGCCTCGTGTCAAAAAATTTCAACGGGGGGGGGAGGTCGTTGTATTTCAATGCAAAATTCCTCGAGCGGCACGGCGCATCCTAGAGGGCAGTTAGGGGGAGAGGACATTGAGAAGGTGTATGTAAAGAAAGTCACGGGTCATAAGGGAATTCGTATCAGCTGGAATGAATCAAACTAGGAATTGAATTTGGATGTTTGGAAGGTTCTATTAGCCTGTCTCCAGTCCATATAGAATTCATTTTGATTCTAATAGCAATTCGACTGCGTGGCTTATTCCAAGAGTCGATCCATTAATGTCTACTTTAAAATTTGATTTTTTTCATGGTAAAGTTTTTGATGACGAGGAGATATTCTACTGCTTACTAACTATCTTGAGTGCACCGGACAGAGAAACATGGAAATCGAGTGTAGTTTCCCTACATTAGATAATATTTGCCCTGATTCAGGAGCATGGCTCACCTTCATTGCCGTCACTGTACTCGTTGGCACCGTCAGATATGTCCGGTAACGAGCCGTTATGTCGGATTTGTCACTGCTGCTGGCCGTCAGACGCCTCGGATCCTCTGATATCGCCGTGTCGATGCTCGGGATCGTTGCAATATGTACATGTTTCATGTTTAATGGTGAGTTTGAATTGTTGCCTTTCATTAAGAAAATCTTTTGTGTTCTTTTGAAAACATCAGCTGTCATTTTTCACATTCAAAGGCCATTCATCACGAAGTTTCTGTGAGAACTCGTCGTCGTCGTCGCTTAATCAGCCGTCACCTGTCATTTGTCTTCCCGTTGATCGTTGCGAGTCACTCACGGCCGGGGGCCAGATGTCTTTGTGAATCGTGGACGTCTTCTAGGAGCTTGTTTCATTTAGACCTTAAGACGGGGCCGCAATCAAATTTTTTGGATGCTAACACGGTCCGCTTCCATACTTTATGTTTACTCAGCCGTTTTTCGTTCGAGAGACTGGCTGTGATGAACCTATTGATCGCTCTGAAGCTGAAGCGAAGAAAAATGAGAAGATCTAGAAACATAGCAATATAGCGAATGGAAAGGTGCATAACGGTCCTCCACTGATAAAATTCATCCAGGCCTCGAAGTCTTACTGGGACGTGGTATCCTAAGACTGAACCCTCTTTAGTTTTCGGTGGTTCCTTTCCTTGGTGCATGCTCCTGGTAACAGCGGTCTGAGAAGGTGCGCACGTACTGCTCCGAATATTGTGCTGAGAACGGGGTATCTGCCCATTCTCGAAAATTTTCCAGCGAGGAAGTTTTCATGTGTCGCTGGGTTTTTTTTCAGTCAGGGCATCTAATAAGAACAGTTTCCGCTCAACGGACGATTTTACATGAATCATCCAGGATCGATTTACAATTTACATTAGAATTTATGAATATTGGTCAAATTTTCTCGCAACGAATTCAATAGGACGAAAGCACAACCTTTCTTCGAAGGGTTTCTCGTAAGACAGTTCTGATCAGCTGGTAGCGCCTTCCACCAAGTCAACTATGTTGTGTCGGGTCATTCAGAGAGCAGAGCAGCATTGGATTAGCAGTGATGAAAATCGAATTATCACCCAATGGCCGTAAGGTATGCTTCCCCGAAGGGTTAGGGGCAGGGTCAACCGTCACGTTCGAACATTTTCAGGGTTTTTGCGACCCCCTTTTCTCAAGGGGGTCACCCCCTTATCTCAAGGGGGTCCAGTTGCGACCCCCCTCTTAGGTAATGGAAGTGCCGAATGTGCTGACTAAATGTTAAGTGAAATATTTATTTCACTCATTTTACTTCAAAGACAGTGAACTAAAACCTTTTAAAGACAATGAACTTCCATGACATAGAACAAAACATTTGAATATTGAAGATCTTCACTGAAATTTGAATTGAATTGTTTTCAAAAAATCATTGAATTTCTGAAAAAAATTCAATATTTTTTTCATGTTGCCCAAAACTTCAAACTTCATGCTTCCGAAAGAATCACAAGAGCAGTTCAAGGGAGTAAATCAAAGAGAGTTACGTTCTCCATCAATGCATCTCCTAAGATGAGCCCCAAAGGAGCAAGAATCACAGGGCACTGGCTAATGAAAGCTATTTTTTATGGTTAGCCTCGCGAGATCAAAATTTTTGTTCGCTCACAATCACGCCAAAATGAGGATGAAAGCGAAATGTGTAAGACCAAATGGAGGGATATCCAACAAGTAACATGAAGACTGACGAACTTCTGCTCAAACAGCTGAAAAAAGAGGAAGGATTAAAGAAGAGTAGGACTGACATGATTGCGTCAGAAACCGCCGCAGAAAGCGTTTGCGTTGCGGCGTCAACCTTGGAGCGCGGCAGGTATCACCCGGACGCTGGAAAACTGGGACGCGGCGAAGAAAAAGTTTTAGGAGAGTGTAACTTTCTTGAGACGTATTTGTTTCACTTATTGAGGTAGGTTTAAACTGTGCCTGAGGTGGCTTTACAGAAAATTGCAAGGATGACCTAACTCTCCCAAAAGTATTTCTGTCAGAAGCGGAAAACCCAAAATTCTGAGAAGGCGCACCTTCCAACTTTGAAGGCCCATAAAATCTTTCGTATGCGACATTTTGGAAATTTGTAAAAAGTTTCAGAAACTTCAAATATTTCTCTAACAAAAGAGTATAAAAAGTTTAAGTGATTGTCCCCTTTTTCAAAAATTGTCCCGTTCGAACATTTTTCGTGCAAAAGCGAGTTTTTGGGCTTTCAGCGACCATAACTCACTTCATTTTCATTTCTGTGATTCCCTTCTTTCCATGGGGTGAAAGAGCAGGTTTTGCTCTTTCTAATAAGCCCTAAACCATTTTTCAAAGTTCATTTTTCGAGAAAATCCCACGTTCGAACATTTCGGGCGGTTTTGCCGAACACATTCTTTGAAATCGCGAGTTTTTGGGCTTTCAACGAGCATAACTCGCTTCATTTTGATTGCTGCGTTTCCCTCTTTCCATGGGGTGAAAGAGCAGAATTTGCTCTTTCTAACAAGCCCTAAACCATTTTTCAAAGTTCATTTTTCGAGAAAATCCCACGTTCGAACATTTGGATCCCATAGGTTTTTGAGCAGCACATGCGAGGTTTCGAGCTTTCAGCAATAATAACTTCCTTCAAAGAGCATGTTGGAAAGAGGCGAAGACATTTTTGAAGACCGCGAGGTTTCTTCTTTCTTATGTGTTTCACGATTTTGTGGAAGAACCGTCCGTAGAAAAGTAGGTTCCCGAAGAAGTTCAATTTCAGCCACAAGAAGTCAAACCTTTTCATGGAGATGCATTCAACTGTTCTCTATTCCTCAAGGAAAACACCGTAATTTGCCCAAAACTGTCTCTCTGTGCATAATTAATCGAATCTAATGCGGTCTGCACAAACAATTCTTGCCCTCGGATACGCCACGCACGCGCCTGTGGCTGCAGTCCTCGAAATTGCGACCCCCTTCCGACCAAAATGCGACCCCTTCGTTCGAACAGTTCGAACGGACGGTTGACCCTGGGTGAGGCCGGCGTAAAGTTTCCCTTTAAATTTTTCTGTAGTCCCAACTGGGATTGTCCTGATAAAGGGCCTACATCTAATATATGTGTGTAGCTTAAAGTAAGCATGCATTGAAAATAAAGAAACAGTATCGTTCAAAACAAAAAATTTAAAGGGACTTTCGTCCCCGCAACCATTCGGGGAAGCATACCTTACGGCCCCGAGAAGTTGAGCGCCTATATCACTTAGATACAAACTCTGAAAGCAACAGGGAGAAAAGAATGAAATTCACTCGCAAAATGATCGATCGCAGCTGGTTATTTGGCTTGAAAATGGAAGCAGTGATGGGAAAAGTTTATGAGCGATAAGCCGCTTCTAGCCCAACTCAAAACTCATCAACGTAGGTCCATTTCAGTGTCGCGGCGGAGACCAGACGTTAGAGCATAAAGCTGCGTAGCAAAAAATATAAGATACTCAACATATTGCCGTAAGGGACCGGTTATTCGCGAAATAACAGTGACTGAAAATCGCAGCCGAGTGACGGGGCCCTGCTGCTCTGTCCGAGACTTTCAAGCCACAATGGCACGGCTTCTTCGCTTCAGGGATGGCCTGTGTTAGGTATGGAAGGCACTGATCGACTCGAGTTTACGTCGAACGTGCCTTTTCCTAATAGTCGACATGAATTTCGACAAAAAGGATGGAAGCGTGAGAAGCTGAACAGCTTAGGATGCCATGGGTCGATTCGAACTCAAAAACAGTTTTTTACACGTGCCAATCTGCTGCTCCACTTAGGGCTTGTTCGGGAGAAATTCACCGATTTTAGTACCATACGGCGTTCTCAATTGCTGCGTAGTAAAGATTGGCACGTAAATGCTTTTACGGTCTTGAGTGAAAGTTGAGTGCGTGGCGCAACCACATTCATTTACGCGTCTTGATTGAACTATACCAACTCGCTTATCATTTTTCAAAGTTGCTTTTTCGCTAGCTAATTGACGTCATAAACAAAGACGACTATCATGTTTCGAGCAATCTGGTTAGATTATTCTTCGACGAAAGTTGCATCGACAGCAGTTTTGTGAATATGTATAAAATAATATGGGAAGAGTGGTACTCAGTAAGTACTCTTGAAATCTCTGGAATTGATTTTTCATGAATTCTCAAATCGTAAGCCAAGAATAAATAATCGGCATCGGTCTGCAATCTATGGTAGGGCTAAAATCAAGCGGATCTCGAAGAATTGAAGTTCTTTCTTACGCTAGTGTTAAATTGAGAAAGTTCATTGCCTAGTTTCTGGAGCACTGGTATGCCAACACGAGTAAATTAAATGTAATTTCTGCGGCGTGTATTTATTTATTTTTTTTATTATATTACATATGCACAGGTCAACCGCCCTACGTTTGCTACGCCAGTAAACATCGGGGGGTCGTACCCACTTTAGTCGCTCGAAATTATGTGTGGGATTGAGGTGAAACTAAGATTTCGTGGGTAGTAGGCTGTGCGAGTGGAGGGCGCGCAAGATAAAAATTTGCCGTTTCAGTGCTCATATACCCCCCTCCCCCCCTCGAACCCCCGGCATTTTTGGAGAAAAGTGGGCGGGGTTTTTGAGGACAGGAGTGGAGTGGTCGAGGTGTGGAGTAGGGAAAAGGGTCGTATCAGAATGATCCACGCTTGGGTACTGGGGGGTCGTAAAATTTTAACGGTAAAAGTAGAAAACACTTGATAGGACTGCTGATACTGTGCACTCCTAGGTGCACTACAGCAATTCGTCAGGAACCAAATCAGTTATAAATCAGGAACATTGATTTAAAATCAAATCAAATTAGCACTACTTTACCCACAAGCGGGAAGTTCTCAGACACCAGCTATTCGAAATCGTTGATGCCTAATAAGGCGAGTAATTCAAGTGCTCTTTAATTTCCCTTCTGAACGTATCGGTATTTCGTGCCATTTGCATGTCTGTCGGTAATAATTGGAGTGGAATAGTAGAGTGATCACTCTGCTTCGTCTAATTATCCAGTATTACTCGTTTCCATTGCTCAGTTCACTTTTAACAATTGACACAGAACACGACATCATACTGAGTCTCTTCTGTACAAAGTAATTTCAATTGACAAGAAAGCAAAAATAAAATTAAATAAATAAATAATTTTTTTTATTTATTTTGCTTTCCTGCAGTCGGAGGTGCACCAGGAAACAATGTTATAGAAAGGAAAAAAGAATGCACTCGAGGCCACGAGTAAAAAAAGAATAAATGGCGCGGCCTGCGTTCAACGACAACATTTGAAAAATCGGCAGAGAAAAAAATCAAAAAAAAACTCTTCAGTTCAAACGTAGGGAGCTAGATGGAATTTTCGAGAAAAACGGTCGATGTTTACACTTATCCGATTATTGACTATTTTTGAAGATAGTAACAAATTTTTCCGCTCAAATATCCAATCAAAATTTATTCGTATCAATCTTTCACTTCCTGCTCGTTTTGAGAAGACTACCGCCATCCAGGTGCCGTTCTCGGAAAGAAATCACCAATAATGAATATCCAAGTTTTTCCGCAGCCTCGGCAGTGGTTGTGTTTGCACAAACGCGTTGTTGTTGCCGAAGAATAACGGAACACCCACAGATATTGAAAAAAGCACCCGAGTGCATTATTCGTGGGCCCAAGACTCGATGGCAGGTTAAATAAACAGCGATGTTTTTTTCTATTTTCGTTTTCTAGTGCAATCCGGGTTTGAGAGCTGAAATCACAGTGATGTCACGGATTCTCTGAAGAGGGCTGAAGTTTATTGGGTAGTTTGAAAATGGCGCTTGGGTGTAAGGATGAACAAGAACAAGTAACATTGCAAGTTGTTCATGGTAGAGAAAAATGGAAAACATTGGACCAATCAAGTGCGAAACGAGCGCCGGACTGTGGGCGTGGCTTCTTCACCTTATTGGTCTAACACTTTTTGGAGCTTTCTTCTCTGTCAGTAAAAACTCAATCCCTGATTTCACCAGTCATGGGAATTTCAGAGAAATATTAGCGATTTTTGCCTTACAAATAATATTGTTGCTTACTCTTCCGAGGAAAATCGATGTATCGATCCTTTTACAGTATCGTGAGATCAAGCTGCCGGATTGTTCGGATCGTGACGTACGATATTATACTTTATTCGTCTGCGCGCTAGCAATGATGATTCTCTCGGCTTTGGCTACAATCGTGTGCTTTCAATTGGAAAAATCCTATTCAACGCATTCCAATAAGTAAGTTTTTTTTCAGTTTTTTAAAGCTTTTTTTCAATTAGCACCATTTATTTTAGGGTGAATTCAGTGTATAATAGTTTGTATAATAATTTGCTGTAATAATTTGAAAGTGGTAAAGGACAAAACTCGTGAACTAGGGGCCACATTGTCAAGTAAATTTCCTTGCTGCGCCATGCACTTGTGCTTTTCTGTAGAAACGCAAGACCTTCTGATAAAGGTGTGAAGCGACCTCATCAAAGACAACCAGTTGAGGGGGTTGGTCCAGCTATAAAATCCATGTGATGAAGTGCCCTTAAGCCAGCAAAAGTGGCAGGCACAGGGGGGGTGATCTTTTTGGGTTGATTTTTTTCCAATTTTTGGGTGACGTAAGTCGGTTTCCTTGTATTCACAGTCCTGGAGGAAGAGCCCTTTAGTGATCGTATGCGGTTCCCGTGACAGTACTGCCTCCAAGCATGGGGGCAATTTCTATTTATCTTTGAAAATACTGGAAAGCTCTAGAATAGTTTTGGATTCATTGTCATCTAAGAGAAATTTTATGCATTAGCAAATTTTTCAGAACGTCATCGTCACCTCTTCCCCCATCAGAGATCACACCGCCGGAACTTCCGGCTCCTACGGATCTGTTACATCGTGAAGATATTGAAAATCTGCTCAGTACTGTAACTCTCATTGCCGCTATTCTGTTCTTCTTCAGCTTTTTCATGGCTATGTATGCTCATGTTAAGGTGAGCCGTTGAATTTTTTTCTATGTATGTCTTGAGGCAATAACTGGACTCAGGGGTTGAAATTTGGACGAACCCGTTCGGTTTGTTATTACTCCCGCTTGGCTTCCTACAAAGGGAATCCTTACTTACCCACGTACGTGGAATGTGACATGGAAAGAGAAACTCTTTCATGAGCTTTTGAAGCTTCAAAAAGGTTTTTCCTCCTCCCTTCTCCGATCGTTGGATATATCGCCTTCATTAATTTTAAACTTGAATAGTGTTTTTCTGGATCATTCCCTTACTTATTGCAGGAAGCCAGTTGGGCGTTTGTTCTTTGAATCGAGCATTCCTTTTTTGAGCGCACTTGAATTTCATTTGCTTCATCTTTATTCCTGCTTCATTTCCCAATGATTCCGAAAATATTCCTCTTTCTCCGCCCCCTTAGATCTCAGCACTAGCGGTAGCTATTGAATGGAACGGTCCTTTGCTTACAGGTGTACTATGGCATGCGTGGCCGTGCTTTCCCTGTTCTTTCCAATATTTCTACTTCCTGACGAATGAGGTGCTTCCTTCGATTTCTTCCAATTTTTTTTCTCCTTTCTCTTCTACGAAGTTATTTTTTCTCTTTGAAACTTTTACAAATCTGTAGCAGCTTACATAGCAATTCGTCTTGGCACATGGACATTTTGCATCTCATTGTTGAAGTGGGTCAGCTACCTCACTTCATTGGTTCACTGGATAATCAAGCCAAATAAGCAAGCTGTGAATTTGTTCCTTGAATGAGATGGCCGTTCTTGAGAGACTCTGATGGTAATTTCGATGGTACCTAGGAATACTTAAGATCCCATAACTTTATATTTCGAAGTTTAATACAATATATGCATGTAGCCATTTTTTATTGAGCTCATTAGCAAAAAATTTGGCTTCGATTCGTGAGTTCTGGGCTCAGTTGTGGGCCTACTTTTTTTTGAGTTTCTAGTTTTCGGTTTTTTTATTCTAGAAGATTTTGGTTTTTTTGTTTGTGCAATACAAAAGTGCATTCTGAGTTCTGGGTACATTGTTTGCATACCTATTCTTATTCCCATAAAATGAGCAGAAACTTCTCACTTTCGATTTCGGCCTGTTTTTTTTTGATTTCCGAAATGGCATCAGGGTTGTGGCAATCAAGTTGTTTACAACCAGATCTGAGGGCTTGATTTTAATGTTTTCAATTTCAATTACAACTATTTATTATAATTTTTGCAATTTCAATGTTTACGTAGTTAGTAGCTCGTGACTCTTTCTTTCCAACTCACTCATCTCGTTGAATTCTCCAAGGTTTCTTTTTTCTCTCTCATCCTCTGCTCTCAATGTCCTTTCCGTGATCCTTCCTGTGGTCATGAATTTTCATGATACTTCTTTCCTTTTTCCTTTTCCTCTCTGGTCCTTCTCGTCCACTCACGCTCTGCTCACACTTCTCAATTTCTCTGCGTTCAAGCACTGCTCAATTTTCCACCATTAGACTTTCGGCAATCGGAACCCTTTTTTCACATTAGCCGTCATTTTTGTGGTGCTGCCAGTGTTCATCGACAAGTCACGGAAGCGAACGAAGTGGCACTTTTTCTATCGTACCTGGTCACTTGTGGCAAATTAGAGCGCTGCATTCAGGAAATTAATCTGCCCACCCATCATAGTGCTCTTTTTTCCCCACATGACGAAAACTCAGCAATTGGAACTGTCTTGCACCTGTCGTACGCCTACTTGAACATCTAGGACCTCATTACCGTATGTAAATGAGACGTGAAATGACACCATTCTTCTGTTTACGAAACCGCTCACACTTGGCAGGTGTTCTAGATAAGAGTTAATCTCAAGAAAGAAATCGATATATTGATCGATACAGTAATTTCTTGTTTTCAGTCGGGTATCAGTTTTTGTGGCTACATCTCACTGTGTTGGAGTTCGAATTTGGAGTGGACAATCGAAGAATATAAACAATCTCGAGATTCTCAATACCTTAGTAAACTCGAAGAATTGCGACGGAAATAAATGGTTAGTGCCTAGACTATTAATTTTGAGATATTTAGTTCATTCTTTTATGTATATATTTATTTTTCGAAATCTCTCAACTTTTCACGCAGGCTTAGCATTTATTCATTAATATCAGAGAACTTCGGAGAGCCTTTGTTGGCATAATTTAGGACGTAATCATATTATTTTGCTAATTTAACTCACATGACTATTTGTCGTTCTTATCCCATGATGGTGTTGTCGTCTATTTTTATATCTTTATTTGCTTCTATTGTTAAAACACTTTTTTTTTCAATAATCTTCATTATCACCTATTACTACTTGTTATTATTCATTACTACTATGTTAGATGATTGGTTTATCATTGGAAAATTTTTTATTGGTTTATTAATGTGTTAAATTTATGCCATTCAAATTTTTGTAAAGTACTGGTCGGTTTTGTCGGTCCTTTTAACGTAGGAAGTGGCTCTGGTGATCTTGCCTTTCATGGAATGCTTTTTGTTTTTGAAGTTTTTTGAAGCAAGCCCATTACATGTGATCTTCGATAGAAGGCGTATTTACAGGGGTGTGCCTTTGGTTATGGTTTAATTGTATTAGTTACCTTTGCCCCCCCTCCATTCCTCTCCCTCCCATCCCCTCAGCTCTTTTACCCATACGAGGGCAACCCTTGGTAGAATTAATCCCCCTTCGGTTGGTTCATGCTTTATTCGCTTTGGCTTAATGTGGACCATCAATACCGTTGCAATAAAGCGATGAATCTGTCGGTGCAATGTCTATAAATCTCGTTGTTCGGCTGTCAGAACGATTACAAATTAGTCATGGGAAGGTTTTATTATTGCTTCGTTACTGGTAATTCAGCCATCATTTCCTAGTGTCAACTCGGATTACAAATTCCCTTTCGATGGGAAACTGTTGAATAAACATAGAGTGGTTTCTGAATGTTACGTGGCGAAATCGAAGTATCGGAAAAGACCTAGAAGCGTAGGTCAATTTAGGGGCAATTTCTGAGGTGGGTCTTGAAGGGTGAGGGTCTCAATTGCCAAAAATTCGGTGCTAGTCATCTCCACCCAGTTTCTTCACTTACGACAGGGTGAAAATCGGTTGGGGATTTGTCGGTCTTTTTTCGCCTGTTCGGTCACGCTCCCTCAGCACGGGCTTCACATGGTCACGCGCGAAGGCCGTCTGTGCTCTCGCGCGTACAATATCACTCCCGAAACTAGGGTCTCACACATTGTGTGAACTTGTCCGAGCATTCCTCGATTATTCAACGCTGCTTAACAACCTTCCTGCTACCCGTAGATCACCGAAACACGACTACCTTATCGAGGAATACTCGGCACCAGCTCAAGAAGTAACAAGAATGTCCAAGTGTGGAGTTACGAGTTTCATGCTCAATTTCTACGCAGTAATTACGTACGCTTCGGCTCCTTATCAGTTCATGAGGCTGTCATAGTTTCAATACGGAGGCTAGAAATATCCCATCGAAGATGTCGCTAAAAGAACCCCCAGGAAATACATTCTATCGTTCCGAGTAATGTTGTTCGTTAAATATGAAGGACGTGTTGAGTAAGCGTAACAGTCAGAAATGGGGCCGCGACGATTCAGGTAAATTGTAATGTGTCAGCAAGTTTTTTGTGGGCTTCTGCGAAAACGTTTTGTTGACTACTGCTCTCGTACATTTGTACTATTTTCCTATTACGCACGCCCCAAAGCTCATATGTTGTTCATTGCTGCAGCACCAGTAGGATTAGTACAACATGGCTCTCGGGATGATTTAAAAAAAGATTAAAATTGCCGGAAAAAAGATAGAATGAGTGAAAAAAGTGAAACTGTAGGAAAGATGGAGTGAGTGAAATAATGCAAGTTTTTTTTCTGAAATGATCATTAGGAGTGACATGAGGATCACTTAGGCTGAACTTACGAAAGAGTCCACGCCTACATCTTTTTATTCATTTATTATGTCTATGCTGTTTCATGGGAGGCATGCAAATATTGCAAGGTGGGAGGGATGAGAATTGAAATTCGATGATTTTCGAGTTCTCTTTGTCCCTAAGGGCATAAAACCCGGTAAACTCACCACTAGCAATGCTAGGCCACAAAATTATTACAGCAGAAAGGTCGATCAATACCTTTCTGGATACGGCACGCATTCTACTTCCATTTGTACATTCGTAGTGGCGCTTGAATGCGATGTGGCCTATACAATGACTTGCGGGGCCAGCCGATGTACAAGTCAGTGTTTTTATCCTCCCAGACAAGGTTGTAGCCAATTAATCGACCCCGGAGGGAATGGGGGATGGGATGGGAGGTCATGGTCGGCCCTGACGGCGCACTGATCCACGATTCGATACCCGAAACGCTCCGTGAGATAAAAGCGTCCACTCGCACTTACACTACTTAGCCCTACAAAATTATAAGTGCTTAAGTATTTGAGCAGAAAAGATGGCGTGGCGTGTGGCGTCGCTTGTCATGAGGATCAATCGTTCAGTCCAACCAGGCCTCCCATTCCTCTGGGGTCGATCAATCTACCAAAATTGTGTGGGAGGATGAAACACTCAGAATGTACTAGTCAGATGGCACACGGTAGATCATTAGGTCAAATGCATACCAATGCTACTGCAATTCCGAATTAAGGTCGATGTCATGGCACATCCCAAGAAAGGAGATTGATTAGTACCGAATGCTTATTTCCTTTATCCTTTTTACTTGCTATGTTTTAGTAATTTTCTAATATAGACATATTTATAATGTTATTCCTTGGACTTTACATGGCTAGTATAGTCAACTGAGTGTCGGGTTTATTCACATGTTTTCGTAGAAAAGTTCGTGCCAGACAGTTTTCTGAATGCAGCGCGGATTTTTGAGAGATGTACAGCATATGGCGCTCTGAAAGTGGCGGCCCATTTATGATACTTGTCTTTTGTTCCCTCGGTCACGAGTGATAATATCGGTTAGTCCCGTGCGCCTCACTTAGCGCACTCAGGACGTCCTTTCTTCGTCGTCGTCAGCCGGCGCACACTATGGGATTACCGGTTTTCGCGGATTAGGAAGGGATTTAGCGCGCAGCAGTAAAGATGGTAGAGTGACGAGACAGAGATTGTGATCTTAATGCTTCATTGACTAAAAGAATTGCATTACTTATATACTTTATGACCCTTTTTTGTTGGCTGCTATTCTAGTTAGAAATTTGTTTTCGCAAAGTCATCCACGGTCATAGACGCAGAGAAGTTTCTTGCATTTTCTCTGCGTCTATAACCGTTTTGTTCTCCTTAAGCTCCACTCTAGTTTTAGTAGATCTCAGGACATCTGTCAATCGTGGATGTCCTGGCGGTGTCAGTGTTGTTATATTTGAGTGATGTCTGGGATTGCTCTCACAAGTGCACACTATCACAGCATCTCTTCTTTATCTTCTTCAAAAGGCTTAGTCCCAATAAGACACAAAGTGTGTGCTTTCCAGCTACGCTCTCACCCTTTGGTTGACAGAAGCCTTGTAACCCGTTTTAATATTGAGCTGACCCGGAGCCTTATCAGAGGCCGTATGCTATCCTTCCCCGAAGCTAGGTGACGCAAAGTTTCCTTTAAATTTATTTGCTTTGAACGATGTAGTTTCTTCATTTTCAATGCATGTTTACTTTAACCTACATACATACATTTAATGTAGGCCTTTTATCAGGGTAATCCCAGTTGGGAAGACAGAGAAAATTTAAAGGAATTTTCGTCCCCTAACCCCTTCGGGGAGGATAGCATACGGCCAGGACCTGAAGTTATATTGAAACAAAGCTGAGCAGAAAATCTACTTCAAAAGAGTTCGGATAAGGTTTATACACAGGGTGTACGAGGGTGTTATGCACCGAAATAGCGCAGAAGACTTCAAAGGAATTCTTTTTGAATTTTTTCCTGGTTTTTGGAATTTTTGGAGTTTTTTTTTCGAATACTTTGTGAACTTTTGGAATTCTTTGAAATAAATTTTGGTGCGTCTGTGTTATATAACACTCTAGTTTTATTTCAATTTATTGCGTGCCATCCTGGTTCTAATTCTTTATGAACTTTTTCTCTGCACTGCGTAATAAAAATTAAATTATGCAAGGCTTGTCCTTGTCCAGACCTAAGCGCGGATAACGCCACAGCTACGACCGTTCAGCCTCAATATTTATAGCCCAAATCACTAACCAGGAAAGGCATTCAACTTCCCATGGAACCTTGAATGGAGACCAGATATATCGATAGAGCTTCGAACGCTGATTACAAATGTGGAGGCTAAAACTGCAAAATGGACCTGCCAAGGAAGTTGTGAGCAATCCAAGTTGGCTGAAAGTAATGTGTTGCATATGAACCGTGCTAGCCCCGGGCTTTCAAAGTCGCCGTGGATTAGAGGTAGTGCCCTCGCTCTTCACCCGAGAGGTCATATGTTCTCTCCCGTTGGAGTGCGAATTTCGGGAGCAGTATCACACTCCATAGTACATCAACTCTTTGAAAGCCTGGAGGCTGCACGGAGTAGTATGTAATGCTTTGCTATCAGTCAACTTGGACTGCTCCGTAATAACTTCGTATAGCATACATTATACGAAGTTATAGTTTTCCATATTTGTGGATCAGGCGTTGTGGAGACTCATATCGCATATATCTGGGTTTCAATTTCAAGATTTCCATGGACGCTGACATGCTTTCCCTGTAATTGCTTTATAGAACATCACAATGACCAGAATCAGCCAGAAATTATTAACTTTTCTGGCTGTCGAAAACGTGTGCAACCAAATAGCTAGCCATATCAAGTGATACAAGGCTTGATTCCTTGTTCTTTAAATATAACCGACGAAGCAGTATCACTGCTGATGTAGGCGCGTAGTTAAAAAACAAAATCAAAATACTGCGTCAATCCCCGCTTAAATATGGTCTGCGTTAATACTACTTATCAATAAATAATAATAGATTAAAAATTTTTGGCTTCGTTCAATCTCAACAATCTCTATTTGGTGAGCCACGCATTCTACTTCCAATCTCAAGCGTTGCTTTTAAGG